CCCCAGAAGGGGGCGTGCAGGAGGCAGTCGATCAATGATTCTCTCTCATCATTGATGTTTCTATCTCTCTCTCTCCCTCTCCCTTCCTCTCTGAAATCAATAAAAATAAAAATATTTTTAAAAATTTTCAGGGGGAAATCCTATATCTGATTTAAAGAAATTTCCCTATTTTAAATGAAAAAGTCATGGATATAGTTTAGTTTAACTCTATGTTGGGAAAAATAAACAAACTCCCAACATATGTGTATACATATGAGCAATGAGAAGAATGAAAACAGTTTATTACTCTTGTTCACCTCAGGTGACTTTGATTTTATACATTTTTGTACCATATTCAGAGTTACAAGCATTTATTCCTTGTGAGTCCTGGAACATCATCACCACCAAAATGGTGGGGTTGGGGGCAGGGGAGAGAAGGTATATTTTGATGAGTGAACAATGTCATTTCCAGGGCACATGACTGGCATCAGAACCCATCTCCCAACTTCCTCATTGCCCATTTTAGCTAACGTGGGAAAAGTAACATCTCCACATGAGATAACGTTTTTAGGGGGAAACATTTTAAGTAGGGCAAAGGGTAGAAGGCTAGAGAAATGACCACAGAGGCAATGTCAAGGGGAATTGCCCACCACAGAGCTGGGCACACAGCCACGGTGTAGAAAGGCAGTAAGCAGAAAACAAAGGAATGACTAGGAGGGGCATGGGGTGGCTAAAAACCACAGAAGCACCTGCCTAGATAGGACTTGGGGGTGAGCAGCACATCCCCGGAGGGACAGGGATGACAGAGCACCCAGGTGAGACAGGAGAGGGAGATGAGTGGGCCAGGGGGCGACACATAAGTAATGGGAAAGGAAGCACCATTGGGACGATCAGGTCCACAAGTAACAGCACATGAACAGGCCCAAACAGGCAGAACTGGCCATAGTCCAGACACTTAACTAGGCACAAATCAACAGTCTGGGAGCACCATGTGCCTTAAGAAACCTCTCTTGTCTCAAAGAGCCTCAACTCCTGGAGCCCCAATGAGTAACGGGAACTAGGATACTTCAACAAACTGCCGCCCAGATGGGATGTGTAAGGACAAAAAAAAAGGCCTTTCTTTTTGTTTGCTGTAGCCTTCCACAATTTATGAGAAGCACCTGGTAATTAAACCCCAAGATTGTTAGCTCCTCCGATTCAAACAGGCTCTCTGTTCAAACTACAGGGCAAGATAAGTTACTTTCAAGGCTACATTCTTTTTTTTTTTAATATATTTTATTGATTTTTTACAGAGAGGAAGGGAGAGAGATAGTCAGAAACATCGATGAGAGAGAAACATCGACCAGCGGCCTCCTGCACATCCCCCACCGAGGATGTGCCCGCAACCCAGGTACATGCCCTTGACTGGAATTGAACCTGGGACCTTTCAGTCCGCAGGCCGACGCTCTATCCACTGAGCCAAACCGGTTTCAGCAAGGCTACATGCTTGCATTCCCCTCCTCCCTGCTATGTTTTCAACTCAGGGATAATTTGCACCAGAAAGTCTCTAGTTAATAGGAAAGTTCCCATCCCCCTCTTCCAACAAGCCTCCTTTAAACTCTTCATAACTTTTACTCTAAGCATGTTGTGCCGGCTTGGGAAAAATACTAAGACACTTCCCTAGGACATCTTCAGCCATTACCCTTTAAAAGAGCAGGCTGCTGTTTATCACCTGCCCTTGTATTGATTAGGAATACACCAGCCTTTTCCCTTCGGGGAAAGTAAAAATAAACTTTCTCTCTGCATCTATCTCTTCTTTTAGTTGTGAATTCTTTCACAGCCCGAGTCACCAGCCAAAAGACCCTAACAGGATGGAACTCTTAGAACCAGCATTTCAGTCCTCAAATGCTGCATTCACAGAATGAACACAAGGTTGGCAGTAAGGCATAATGACCCCAGTAAAATGAGGAGGAGAAAGCTTTCTGTGGAAACAACTTTCTGAATTTTTTTGTTAACATGGAGATGTCATTAAATTTGCTAAGACAAAAAAAAAAATTAATCTTTACAGGAAATTAGCTAAGTGTTCTAAAAAACACCTCTTGCAAACCCACAATAACCAGGGACTTGGTCTCTCGCTCTTGATTTTTAGATATAGTGGATATTCATCACTAAGCTCTATTCAAGAGGGTTTCTCCTTCGCATGCATATTCCATAATACTCCTGGGAGCACAAACATCTCTGTTTTTCAGGCCTGAACTGTTGTCCCTGCTAATAAGGAGATACTTGAGGTAATTTCTTCAAGCAGCATTGAGATTACTGGCTCCAGGAGCTGCTAGAGATTAAATAGCTGCATCAGGATGTGTCCACATAGAAGAGGAGGCAAGGGGAACCTGTGAAAGGGTGAGGGCTATGCCCTCCATCTTGCCCCAGGGCGAGGGCTATGCCCTCCATCTTACCCTGGATCCTCCATTTTTGGGCAGCAGCCTTAGCCATGTGCTCGGCAAGGAGCTTCTTCCCGGAAGCCCAAGCCTCTACTAGCCACACCCAGGATTTCTTTAAACTAACCAATGACAATCAAGGGAAGTGCACGCCATAGATATGACCACATCCTGTGTAACAAGACACCAACTTGTGCCTGGGCAATCAGCAGGGCCCACCATAGTCCTCTCTCCTCCCCTTACTCCAACCCCCCTATAAAACCCCTCTCCCCACAGAGCTGTCTCTCTGCTGCTTGCCGCTGTGTTGGTGAGTGTGGTTGGGGAGCCGAGCTAGCTCGAATAAAGACTCTTTGCTTTTGCATCGGACTCGGCTGGCTCCCTGGTGGTCTTTTGGGGTTCCTGAAATCTGGGCATAACACCTGGTGCTTTCAAGTTGGCCCTTCTGCCTTACTCCCTCCTGTATTCAAGCCCCTGAGAGTCTGGTTTCCAGGGGGTCATTGATCATTTATTGAGTCATTTTCAGTTCACTTCTCACAGTAATATGAAGTTATCTGTTGCCATTTAGACTGATTAGGCAGGTCCCTGAGCAACAAACCTACCGGTAATTAGAGCCTTAGGCCTTGGATCTCTTAGCTGTTTGTCACCTATAAACTACTGCTCTGGGATTTCCAAGGAGCCCTCATTGTAAGAAGTTTTCAATAGTGCCACACCCCTCCTGAGCAGGGATTTTCATGTCAATATGCCCATTGAGACCCCTTAGTGAGTGTTGAAAATAAGACCCAGCCCAGCCATTGAGGCTCAGTGGTTGAGCATCCTCTTGACCTATGAACCAGGAGGTCATGGTTCAATTCCCAGTCAGGGCTCATGCCCAGATTGCAGCTCAGTCCTCAGTATGGGGTGTGCAGAAAGCAGTTAATCAATGATTCTCATCACTGATATTTCTATTGCTCTCTCTCCCTTTCCCTTCCTCTCTGAAATCAATAAAAAAAAAAATTTAAAAAGAAAAAGAAAAGAAGATCCATCTTCTCTTCATGGAAATGAGCTAGAGTCAGGGTAAGAGATGCTAATTAAGATCATTCCCAAATATGGTAAAACATAGACCTCATTCTCCTCTTCTTTAGTGTCAACTTGATAGGTATCATTGTCCTATTCCTCAAAAGATTTATTTTTGAAGGTATTCCTTGAGCTTCTAGAAAATCAGATACACTTTATCAGAGAATTTGTAGTATGCCCTCACTTACCCCTGACTTCAGCTTTCTTGGTCTTCCTTACCCTATTCTGCTCTATTTCATCCCATAATGCCAGGGTCCAGCCCCAGCGGTCCAGGGGTTCCCAAAGGTGTGGACGGAGTTGGCAAAGAATGTTTTACATGGAGACAGCGTTCAGAACTCTCTAGCTCTCTTTAGTCTCCGTGGATCTTCCTGTGCCTGGCTGAGGCCACAGAGAAGGATCCCGAGGCAAGCTGAGCCTTTATTTTATAGTCAGAGGTACACAAGGTAGTGGTTACCAAAGTTACACTGTTCTTGTGAGTTTCACTTGTTTACACTGTTCTTGTGAGTTTCACTTATTTTTGTTCTTGTTGCACTTCCCTCAGCCCATCAGCTTCCCAGGTAAGATCTAGGGAGCGTCACAAGATCAAGCCTAATTATGCTTAAGAGGACTGTGCCCTCTAAGCTGGGACTTGTTTGTGACTTTGCCAACAGGTCAGTCCGAGGCTTAACCCTATAGCCGCTCCCCACACCATAACACTGATCACCTTCTGAACTATAATTTCCTTACTTATCTTTATTATCAAACTCCCTCCACTGGAATGTAAACTGCATGAGGATAGGGATTTTAGTCTTTTGTGTCAACTGCTGTAGTAGATACTCAGTAAATATTATTTGGATAAATTTAAGATCCTAAAAGGCAATCTATAATAATAAAAGGGTAATATGCTAATTAGACCAGATGTCTTCCAGATGTCATTCCAGACGTCCTTCCTGACGAAACTGGGGCCAGGGTGGGGAAAGCCAGCCTGGGTCCCGGGTGCCTGTGGGCGGCCCAGGGGAAGCCAGCCTGGTTCCCAGGTAGACAGGGAAAGGAAGGCCTACTCTTGCATGAATTTTCGTGCATTGGGCCTCTGGTAATAATAATAACCTCAGTTATTTTTTAAAATACATTTTTAATGATTTCAGAGAGGAATGAAGAGGGAGATATATAAACATCAATGATGAGAGAGAATCATTGATTGGCTACTTCCTGCACACCCCACACTGGGGATCAAGCCCACAACTGGGCATGTGCCCTGAATAGAAATTGAACCATGACCTCCTGGTTCATAGGTCGACACTAACTACTGAACCACACTGGCTGGGCTAACCTCAGTTATTTTTATACAGCCTCTTCTTTCCTGATCAGGTCTAGTAAACAACTGACCAAAAGGACTCACAACGGTGCCCAGGCCAATTCTGCTTTGCAGTTGTACCAAGGAACTAGCATAGATTCCTTAAGAAACAAGGTAGCCACTCTAAGACACTAACATATCGTTTGAAAATCCAGGTCTCTTGATGCAGTGAACCGCATGGCCAATAAGATACTTCTACTTTTAATAAAAAGTTCAAAGGTGTTTGACATTTTATTTTAAAAATAAAATTGGTGCATAAGTGCAAGGAGAAATAATTTCTGTCCAGTGCTCTATATCCATCTTCAACGAGCTATTGGAAACAGAAAAGAGGAAAAAAATTGAGAAATACCTAATCATTAACTTCAACTTATCCTATTGTAGAGCTAAACCATGAACTACAAAATCTGGTGTTACAGGTAAGAAAACAGACCCTGGGCGCCTGCACAGCTCGGGTGAAAAAGCCAGGACTAGATGCAAGGCTCCGGACTTGAGGCAAAGCCTTTCCCTTTCCATGTTGCCAGGCCGCCAATAACCGCGGACTCAGACTGGAGAGTACAAAACACGAATGCAAGGACTACGGTGCTGCGTGGCAAGTAATTCCCAGTAAACGCAGGCAATGAACTGGGACACCAGTGCAAGTTACGGGGGAAAACAAAGCTTCCTCCTCTTGGTGGTGTCTGTGGGAGCAAGCCACCTGCTGTGAGCTGCGGCTCCCCTTAGGCCTAGACCTACAGCCACTGTAAGCACTGCTCACCGACACTGCAGAGGAGCCTAGCTGGCGGGTGGGGTGTGAGGGCGCCTGGCTCAGGCGGGCCTCCCACCCCTCACCCCACGGGCGTGGGCAAGGCGAGGGGGCGCGGGAGCGGCGGGGCCCAGGTCCGCGCTCAGGCCAGGTCCAGTTTCTTCTGCGCCGCCGCCAGCTGGTCCTGCAGCCTCCGCTTCCTCCAGTCCAGGTAGCGCCTCCGCAGCCGGTTCGCCTGCCAGCCCACGAGCACCCCGGAGGCGAAGGCCAGCAGCACCGCCAGCTGCAGCTTCCTCTCGGACACGTCCGCCATCCGGCCGCCGGCGCGGAAGGGCCTCCGGCGGGGACCCGGCCCAAGGCGCGCGTTCAAGGAGCGGAGGAGGCGAGCGCGGCGCCGCCTGCTGCGCGGTGGCGGACCTGCAGCGCCTGCACCGGGAGCGGGAGCGTGGGCGGCTCTGACTTGCTGGGATGTCATTCCTAGGGTCACTTTTACATAAACTCCTTACCCGACTGCAGGCTCTTCTGTGGGCGGGATGAACTAAGCAAGCATGTTGGAGAAGCTCCAATAGCAAAGCACTGATGTGGCCTCTAGGAACAGTGGCCACCCCAGCCAGCAGCCAGCCAAAAGCTAGAGCCTCCATCCTGCAACTGTCATGAGAACGGAGCCCGCCTGAGCCATTCGCGTCCCTGGCCTGGAGTGAGGTGTAGGTTCTTGACTTCGTGCTGGGAAGATTTTACAATGCGCGTCCAGGTGATTTTGAGAGAACGTTTACTAAAGCTGGGACAGTGAAATAAAGGAAGGGCTTAGCATAGAAGCAGCAGCAGGAGAGCCGAGGAGGGGCTGCTTTGGCCCTGTAGAAACTTTATAGGAAAGAAGTGAGCCACGCTGGGTTGCCAGGACTCACTGCGAAGTAAAAGTCACAATGACAGAAGGGAGCCAAGGTGAGGCTGCTGTTAGCTCACTGAAAAGTGAGAGAAAGGACGGCCTTGGAGGCAGGTTCCGGTGCTAGCCCTGGAGGAGCTACTGCTGCCCACTGCTCCCCTGGTTGCAAGTCTAGTGGGGACCTTCAGAGTTTAGGAGAAAGAGAGCAAAAGTACATGCCCCAAAAAGGAGGGGTGTGGGCGTAATCCAAGGAGAGCACACGCTGGGTCCTTTGCTTTGAGGGTTCTTATCTGTTTCCTAAAGGTGGGAATCCTAGGGGAGGGCCTCAGCAACATAGTCATCAGCTTCCCAGGTGTGTTCTTTAACACGGTGATGTGTCAGACTGAGCAAATAGAGCAGTGGTTCTCAACCTTCCTAATGCTGTGACCCTTTAATACAGCTCCTCATGTTGTGGTGACCCCCAACCATATAATTATTTTCGTTGCTTCATAACTGTAATTTTGCTACTGTAAACAATATGTAATTATATATGTGTTTTTCTGATGGTCCCCAAAGGGGTCGCGACCCACAGGTTGAGAACCACTGAAATAGAAGGACCAGCATCATCTTCTGGTGAGCTTTACCTCTATCTTGGATTTGCTTGATCCTAATTTGGGGTTTTTTGTTATTTGTTCCCCTGACTTCATTTGTGCTGGGGTTTGGCTGGCATTAATGACACTAGCTGGGTCTCTGTTATCTCCCTGACCAGGGTGATTTAAGCTATTTACTTTTAGGAAGGAGAATTGTAAACCATTTGCTCTCAAGTGTCCTTGGTTAGGAAAGATAGATCTTGCAATTTATTAGCAGGCTGTAAATTGCTCTAATTGACCCCATTTGTCTAACCATCTGTCTCAGTTTCCCTTTTCCCACTTGTCAAAAAATTCTCCTAACATCTAACTCTCCTGATTCACAACCACAGATCACCCAAACCACAATTCAGCGGCCACTTCTCTCAAGTTTCTAAGTCCACAGGCACCTGGTGCCCACACCCTCCTCACACACACACTGTCACTCAACCCCAAATGGTGGCTTCTGGTAAGACACCCTGGCACCCACCTCGCTTATCCTGACCCCATTAAACCCCTACCCCCTAACCCCCATCCAGGAACACATCTGAAGACAGCAGGAGAGCACACGTCCACTGTGGTGGCACCAACACAATGACGGGTTCCCTCACACCGACTGCAGCGCCCATTCAGCTGGAGTTGCTGGCCCTCTGCTCTGTGGGCTGTGCAGCAGCAAGTGGCCGCGCTGGGGAGGCCCACGGGTCAAGAAGCTCCCTGTGGCCTCTCAGAGCTAAGGACGCCTGCAGCCACAGCCACAGGAGATCCACCCTCAGTCCTACACCTGCAGGACACCGAATTCTGCCCACAACTGGGATGAGATTGGAAGCATCTCTTTTCCTTGTAGACCCTCAGAAGAGACCACAGTCTCAGCCAAAACCCTGGTCTCATGAGCCCTGAATCAAAGGCACCGCTTAAGCCATGCTCTGCAGAGCTGTCAGACAGTCATGAATGTGTAGTGTCACTAAGCTAGTGGGGATATTGCTCCACAGCAAGGAATGACTACACCATGTCCTTTATCAAATCAGCTTCTCCGTCCTTAGTTGACTTGTATAGAAGAAACTTCCTATTGGAGAGAGTGTCGTTCATAACACAATTTCCTGAAAGTGAGTTACATGTTGCCTTGATGGGAGACAGTTCTCTGGGGCTCCCTCATGGTTCTGCTTGTCTTGCACGGGGCACTGTCTGCCCTTGTTCCTTGGTGTGTAGGGAACAGTTTTAGAAGAGCGTGTCAGCCTCTGGAACGAAGGGCAGGCTTGCTTTCAGCCCCAGGAGATGCAGATGAGGTCTCCCTTTGAGCCAACTGCAGATGTTCTTACTGCCCATTATTAAAAGATGTGGGTTTTTTGCCCAGCCAGAGTGGCTCAGTGGTTGAGTGTTGAACCATGAACCAGGAGGTCACCAGTTCGATTCCAGGTCAGGGCACATTCCCAAGTTGCAGGCTCAGTCTCCAATGGGGGTGTGCAGGAGGCAGTCAATCAATAATTTGCTCTCATCATTGATGTTTCTCTCTCTCTCTCTGAAATCAATAAAATATATTTTTTAAAAGACTGTGTTCCTAAGCCGTTTCTTTTCTGTGATGCCACCCGCTGTGCATGCAGACGTCACCTGGCCATCTTCACATCACCCTGTGGGAACGGGGACTCAGATCTGGCACAAAAATGGTGATACTTCATTGCTATGTCATAAGTAATAGAGTCTCCTTTCTCTCTGACTGGAATGGGGCAGGAAGAAAGGGGCAAACGAAGGAGGGAAGGAAAGGCATGATATGGAGCCCAGGGCAGGAGTAATCAAGGCCCAGGTTGCCTGCTGACAGTGGGCAAACCTGACTTCAAGGCCCAGCCCTGGTCAAAGATAGGACACACAGAACTTCTACAAGAGCAGAGCTGGCCAGTGCCCACAAGCCCTGTCATCACAGGAAGGAGGAAGGGAGAGACTAGAGGTGGCTCACCTGTTTCACAGGCTCATGCCAGCGAAGATCTCTAACTGGGGTAGCTTCACCCTTGGGCTCAGGCATCCCAACCGCCATTAGTGGCGCCATCTCTGAATCCAGTACGGCGATGTAACCATCCTCATCCTGGGCCACAAGGGGAAGCTCTAGGTCCTTGGCCACTGTTCAGGGGAAGGGGCCTGGTCTCAGTTGGGCAAAAGCACTCATCCAGCCCCTAAACAAGATGGGGCTGCTGCTGACCGTCTTCACCACCTGTGGGGAGAAACTCCTGCGCCCGTGAGCGAGCAGAGAAATCACGTCTTCACGTCATTGTTCGAGTCCCTGGATCCAGCCTTTTCAGCTATGGGAATCAATAAACGCCACGTAATTAAGGTATTCCTGTGCTAACAGTTCTGTATCTTGCAGCTGTATGTGTTCTGACAATAACCTTGGTGTTCCAGGCCCTCACAGGCTGGGCCCATCCATGTCGTCACTCCTCTTCAGTGGCTGTCACCACTGCTCAAACACCAGCTCAGCGGTCCCCAAGCCTGTCGCTGTCTGCCTGTTCTCTCACCCCTGATTACATCACTCTCACGAAAGGCTACCCATTCTTCAAGGCCAGCATGACATCTCTCCTCCTTCATGAAGTTGTCCTAGACCATCAGTCTCAAGGGGCAACAAGTGCGTGCCAGGTGTCAAGTTCCTGCCTCATCAGGTTTCCTGCCCTGACAGCCAGACTGGAAGGCCCTACAGGGCAAGGCATGTGTGCTAATAGCTCCCTCCTTTTGATAGGTGAACATTGCAAAGGAAAGCATGAAAGGCAGGTGACAGAAATTGTGTGAGTGCAAGTGCACACACGTGCAGATTTCCCTCACCACTCTTTTAATATATTTTGATTTTTTACAGAGGAAGGAAGAGGGATAGAGAGTCAGAAACATCGATGAGAGAGAAACATCGATCAGCTGCCTCCTGCACACCCCCCACTGGGGATGCGCCCGCAACCAAGGCACATGCCCTTTACTGGAATCGAACCCGGGACCCTTCAGTCCGCAGGCCAACGCTCTATCCACTGAGCCAAACCGGATAGGGATCCCTCACCACTCTTATTGAATACAGGGAGGAAACAGGTAGGAAAGAAAGAATATGGAACATCCTCTCCCTTATTAAAACAAAGCTCCCCTCCCCCAGGTCATTCCAGAAGGAAACTCTCCAACAGCAGTGGCCCTAGAAATCTAGGTGAGAACCCCCGAGAGTAAGGTCAAACCCAGGGGGGCAGGGACTGGGCCAGGGTGAGCTCGCAGCATCAGGAAGTGCTCCTTAACAGGGCTGGCTGCGGTTCCGATAGAGCCAGGACAGGAAGCTTCCAAACAGGGCCACCTGCACCCTGCCCCTTCAGGCCCCATCCTCATAGAGCCCTGCAGCCCTTAAACAAGATGGAACAGATGTCTGTTTGAAAGTTCTTCCATTACCAAACTCTAAGACAGAGTTGGGCTCCAGGGCCTCCATCTTTCCTGCTGCCCTTCACATCCTGCATCTTATGCTGAGTCCTTCGCAGCCTGCAGCACTGGCTCCACTTGCCAGCTCATGACAGGTCAGCAGGGACTGGGGCTCCTGGGTTCCCCACTCCAACACCTGCTGAGACAACAGACTGGGGGCCAACTCTGACTGCCCTCCTCCTCCCCTTGGGCCAGGTTCCAGGACTCCACACCATTTCCCATTCGTGCCTTCCTTCCCAGGTCCTCAGACTCTTCACTAACACAAGGCTCCCTCCTCACACTGTCACCAGTCATTAAGAAAAACCTGGTAAAAATAAATAAATAAAAAGTTGATCCTTTCTTGGCCTGGCCAGTGTGGTTCAGTGGCTGGAGCATTGGTCACAGGTTTGATTTCTGGTCAAGGGCATGTACCTGGGTGGCAGGTTTGATCCTGAGCCCTGGTTGGGGGCATGTGCGAGAGGCAACCAATCGATGTGTCTCTCTCACATTGATATTTCTCTCTCTCTCTCCCTCCCTCCCTTCCACTCTCTCTAAAATCAATGGAAAAAAAATATCCCCGGGTAAGGATTAACAAAAAAGAAAAAGAAAAACCTGATCCTTCCTTTTTTTTCTCAGCACCCTTCTAGGGCTCCCCACTGCTTTTAGTGCCTTCAAAGGGCCCCCTCACCTTGCTAACCTCTACTCTTGCCACATCTTGGCCTCCAGTTGCGCCTCACTCTTGCTAGCCCCTCCTCAGGAGTTGCCCCCATCCCACCTCCGAATACTCTCACACTGAACCTGGCTCCAGCTGTCATCAGGAAACCTTTGGTACTCAGGTCAGAGCCTCAGGCACAGCCCGCTTGGCACAGCCCCTTGCCCAGCTGTCCACTGGACCACTCACTGCCTTTCCACGGACAAGTCCATCTCTAGAACTGAGAATATAAAGCCCTTGGAAACAGGGTCCTGGGGGTCCTCCTATTTCCCTCATGGAATCTCACATGCTTTGGACAAAGCACAAGTCACAGCAACAATCATTTATCAACAATCATTAGTAAATTCCTGAAATGAAATGGGAGAGGACACATGCCTAGCCCCCGAGAAAGATGTGTGCTCTTCCCAGGAATAAAAATAAAAATGTTTAAAACCACCAAAACAGACTGCTCCTCAAAGGGAGCCCTGAGACCTTTTACTGTGATGCACATTTGGGGGCCCAGCATGTCAGCTGACTGTAGAAATGGATGAATGGAATGTGGGTAGCCCTGCAAGGAACCCGACACTGAGGCTCTCCTGAAGGTCACATCCCGGACTGTTGGCACTCACACGCCTCTCCCAGCAAGGAAGTAACCACCCTCTGTGGTTTCAAAAGAAAGTAGTGTCTTTGGCAGTCCTTGCCCTGGGGTCTATTTCTCCCCATACAGGACAAGAATTATCTCCCGCAGCTCACCCACTTGGGATCCACGGGGCCTGGCTATGGGAGGGTCAACTAGATGAGCTTCCAGATAGAAGCGCCTGGCAGAGTGGGCACAGGCACTCCCTCTGACGTTGTTTATACAGATGTATTTTTATTAATCTCAGAGAGGAAGTGAGAGAGAAACATCAATGATAAGAATCACTGATCGGCTGCCTCGTGCATGCTCCCTTACCAGGGAATCAAGTCCTCGACCCAGGTAGGTGCCCTGATCAGGAATCGAACCCGGACCTCCTGGTTCATAGGTCGACGCGGTCATGGAGACACACCGGCCTGGTCCTCTGACATTTTAAATTACACACTTCATCAATTTCTCCTCTTCTCCAAGATGGGAGCAAGCCAACTCAGGGAAATTGTGACAGAAAAACGAGAGGGAGCCACTGGCATTTACATTCTTACTTGTGGTTTCGGTTCATTTGTTTTGTTTTTGCTTTTTATTTTTTTTTTCCTAGAAAAAAAGAAAAAACACAACCAGGGGGATTTATATGATACTGTCAGGATAGCAGGGGGAAGAGAAAGGCCGGAAGTGTGGACAGTTAATAAAAAGTGGGTTCTGAATTACATGGAACAGTCCACAGGGTCATGTCTGAGGCCTCACGAGATGACTGGTCATTTTGGCATGCATGTCCGGTGCCGGGTCTCCTGCTCTGCCCCTCAGATACCCAAGCACCCAAGGTCAGCAAGAGCTGGCCACACCCTAGATATCTGCCAGACAAACTCGGACTTGACAGAAAGACAAGACAATGAAGCTCCTTGGCTTTGTGCGCAGTATCACACGCAGTCTTTCTTGCTCACGGTGGAGTCTGGGGTGAAAGTCACTATGGGACACACTTTGGCATCACAGTGAACTCCAGGCAGCCACCCATTCATGTGCAGACATGGTCTTCACCACCCACACCGGTGTCTGTCCAGACATCCCCAGGCGGTCTGGCCCAAGGATGAGGCACAGAACGTTCCTTCCCAGCCACCACTCAACAGCGGTGTCCACTCTCTGGCCTTGCTCGGTCACCTGCAAGAGGAGAGTGGGACCCATCTACTTTTCAGCTCCGCAATGAACACTGATTCCAAAGACGCTTGGCCATCTGGATCCATACGGAAGGTTTCTCGAATTTCTCCCACTTTTGTGCTGATCTCAGGGCAGAAAATTCAGCCAGACCCAGAGCCATACATGGCAAACAGGAAAGCCAGAATGATGGCTGGGCAAGAAAGAGCCTGCAAGTAACACAATGCAAGGCCAGAGGACATTCAAGAAGGGGAGAGGGCATGCAGCAAGCTGTTGCCCCAAGTCACAGTTTAGGGGAGGCACTAAGCCTGAGGACACAGCCAGGTCTGCCATCTACACCTCCCGCAGCGGGGCCACTGGTTGTGATTCCTATGTGGAGAGTGCCCTGCTGTGACCTCTGTTCCTGCACGGAGGCCAGGTTACATCTCAGTCCACAGTCCTGAGGAGCACCACGCTGGCCAGCCAGCCAGGCCATAGTCCTCAGCCCCTCTGCTGATGGGGCTCTGGGTTCCACAGGAAGGCCCTGGGAGCGAGGGAGCAAGGGAAGAGGGATGCATTCTGCTGGGAGAAGTTCAGGGAGAAACTACTGTGGGCTGGAAGGAGCTGTGGCTCAAAACACTGCAGAGCCCAAAGGAATAGGATAAACATCGATAAAATGACAAGTCTTGTTGCTAGTTTAAAAACAGATGATTGTTGCTGTTGCTTGGTTTTGTTTTTTCCTTTTAAAACCATTCAATTTTAAAAGGTGAAGGGGCTGGAGAGGTTCAGCCCCTTCACTCTGATCCTTTCTGGGCACCAGGAGGCCTCAGGCCCATACCCGCTGCTCTCCTTGCCTGGGCTCCAGCCACCTAAGCCAGGGCAGGGTGGGGATGACTTGTTCTGCTTCTCAACAGCAATTCCGTCTCACTGTCAAACCAGAACACGGAGGATGGGAAGTCCAAAGACTAAAGTGCAGAGATTTCCAGAGCGGGCGGCCTGCCACTGGGCACTCTGAGAAGGAATGGGGTGGGGTCACCCCACAGCTGCAGCTGTGGAACCCGCTGACCATTATGAAGGAAGCCTGCATGGCACAGTCCCCTTTCCCTTGGGCCCTGTTGACACACCTCTCTCTGAGACAGTCCACTGTCAGTAGCTCCCCAAGGAAAGAAAGTTCTGGTCTGAAAGATATGGCCCATGAAGGGAGAAAACTTGTATGACCATCCCTGGTTGGTAATGACTAGTGACCTCAGGGACAGGAAGGTGGCAAGAGGGGAAACAGTGTATGATATAAAATCCATGAACCCCAGGTTTCAAGAGCAAGGATGCATGAACAACCCAAAAGGCAGTCTCTCTCCTGGGAAAGGTTTGGTGAAGATGCTCAGGATCCTACCAGTGAGGCCTGCTGGGGGAAGGCGCTCCTTGGGTGGGAGGAGCCGCCAAGTGGGAGCAGGGAGGAAGAAGGCCTAGGCTGGCATTAGGGTGTGTAGGCCGGGGGCGGCTGGAATTGATTGATGACCTCATATTCCGAGGGGTAGGGCTCGGTCTCCTCCATCTCAGACAGCAGCTCCAGCGCCTGCTCCTCCTCCTCTGTCGGGTAGTGGCGTAGGAGGTTGGCTGCTGTGGCCAGGATTGAGGCTCCACCAGCTCCTGCCACCAGGTAGAAACTAACAGCAAAGGTGACATACACCTGGGAACCATGGTACTTCTTATGTTGCTGCTGCTGGGCCAGGATGAGTTCGGAAGCCCAGTAGGAAAAGCCGATGACGGTCGCACACTGCAGGACTGGGCGACAGAGGGACAGCACAGAAAAGGGTTAGCAGGCATCCTGCAGCTGAGATGATTAAGGAACCAACTGCAGCCTCTCCACCCAAACCTGTGTCAGAGAACCTGCGTGGCCCTGGATCCTGCAAGGGGGAGTTCTCTAGGCCAGTGGTTCTCAACCTTCCTAATGCCGCGACCCTTTAATACAGTTCCTCATGTTGTGGTGACCCCCAACCATAAAATTATTTTCGTTGCTACTTCATAACTGTAATTTTGTTACTGTTATGAATCGTAATGTAAATATCTGATATGCAGGATGTTTTTTCATTGTTACAAATTGAACGTAATTAAAGCATAGTGATTAATCACAAAAACAATATGTAATTATATATGTGTTTTCCGATGGTCTCAGGCGACCCCTGTGAAAGGGTTGTTCGACTCCAAAAGGGGTCGCAACCCACAGGTTGAGAACCGCTGCTCTAGGCCATGGGGTTCTTGGACGAAGGCTGGGACAGATGCACGACCCTGTCTGGGCCAGTCAAATCTCTTCATCTTAAGAATCTGGAGGTGGAACCTGAGGGCTGCTAGAAGTCACTGAGTGCTTGAAAGACACAGACAAGGCCATGCAGTTTGGGACTGGAGTCTGCACCACCACAAATCAAATCAACACCCAGCCCAGTCATGGCAGAGGCTAGTCTGTGAGGAAGTGAAAGGGGAGGAAAGAATCCAATGAGACCAGGAACTCGAGGGGAGACAGAGTGAGACACTCTGCTCATTCCAGGCCCCAGGAGCCCAGCTGAGCTTCAAACCCAGTTCTTGGAGAGCTGGGAGATTTCTTGGGGAATTCTAACAATACTCCTTCCTGACAGCTGGGCCAGGTGCACGTGCAAATGACGAAGGCAAGCTGCTATCCCGCCAGTGCTCCAGGAAAGGCTAGAGTTGAAATGAGCATCTGGACCAAAGCCTGCTCAGAGAAAGCCCGTCATCCCCACCTACAACTCCAGGCAGTCTCCCATCCTGTGGCAGTTCCTCCCCCACGGGGAGCAGTCCTGGACTTACCTGTGAGGATGTGGGCAAAGGCATAGCGACGGGTGATCTTCAGGGCTGGATGTTTGGGCCCAAAGACATCTAGGAGGAATGCGGAGAGGCTACACAGGATGCCCAGGAAGCAGAAGGTGGCAATGACCCTCAGGAGCAGCACCGTCTGGGGATTCATGCAGAAGTCTGTGGGGGGAGAACCAGATCTTCAGGACCGCAAACAGCACCTTGGGGTCCCCACCAGGGAGGAGTTTGTCCCCTTAGCCACAGTCTTGGAGTGCCAGGGGAGTCCTAGAGAAATCGGTCATAACTCTTGCTCCCAGCTGGCTCAGGAGGTGGAACAGCACCCGAACTGGCAGACAGGAACCCTGGTCACTGCTTCCATGCACTCAACTCCTTCCCTTCCAAAAAAACCAGTCTAGCCCCGTCAGTGTGGCTCGGTGGCTGAGCATTGACCTATGAACCAGGAGGTCACGGCTCGGTTCCTGATCAGGGCACATGCCTGAGTTGCAGGATCGTTCATCATTGAAATTTCTATCTCACTCTCCTTTCCTCTTTGAAATAAATAAAAAAATATTAAATTAAAAAAAAAAACTAATCTAAGTGCAGGCCTCCACTTCGTTGTACTGGCCATGATCTTCTAAGCATTTTTAAAGACGCTGACAATTAATCTGACATGTCAACCCATTCTCCTGGCCTTCAGGAGGAGCCCTCTAACTGCTGCGCTGAGATGGCCAGAGAGGCAAGGCCAGAGGCCGATCATGTCGCTTCTCCATTCAGCCACTCTTTCATCCCCGTTTGGGTTCAAAAAGAATCTGAAGCCATTTAGAAAAATGCATCCTTAAAGAGTGTACTAAATAAGTTAGGAACAGTGGTAGGCTGGACCTTCACATTTATTTTTGTTCACTCCCTGAACCCTACTAAGACAAAACCAAACAAAACATTTTAAAGACATAAACCCACACCACAGGGAGAGGGACAAAACAAAATTCTGGAAACTGGAACATAAAGGGGCTTAGAACTGCCTTAGCAGACTGAGTATGCTGAAGTGTCAGCCAGAAGTGGGAAAGCTAAGACACAACTAGATTTATACCACGAATGCCTGAAGAGCTCAGAAACTGAGCACCAAACGCCTTCTAAAATGAGTGCAAAGCCAGTCAGGGTGCACATTCCACCAAAGCGAGGGAGCAAACCAAGGCCAAGGAAGATGCTGAAAAAGGAGACCCCACATTCAGAGTCCCCTAGGGTCACGGTGAAGGGAGAACCCGGGACAACTGTACACCAGACACACAGAGCAACCTAGATTCCCTCTAGGCCGTCATACCATTCTTATTCTTAGAAATTTCACCTAAACAGTGTCAGACCCCTGTGATATCTGTGCAAAATGCCACAGCTCCCAGAAACAGACAAAATAAAGGCTGATCTGAAAAGAAGCTGTTTTAAGCTTCAATAAAAAGTAGGAAATGTGCCTTCCCCTCTCTCCTCTGTTCCAGCCACCGGCAAGCTCTTCTTTCATTTAGGTCACGGGTCATAAAGTGATTTAGGAAAAATCTGGAAAGCACTAGCTTAGACTACAAGCTCCTTTCCTGAGTCTTGACCGCAGGCTGAGGCTGGAAGATGGTGGTCATCACTCTCCAGTGCGCACGTCAGTCACCGGGTGCTGGCTGAAAGCATGTGCCCAGGCCCCAGAAATTTGAAACTCTCAGTCTGGAGCAGGCCTAGGAATCTGGATTTTAATAAGCAGCCCAGGTAATTCCCATGCAAGGTGGCCCAAGCCTTACACTCCAAGAAACAGAAATCCTGGGCCTGGAGGACAGGGGACTGAGAAGAAAAGGCCAAAAACCCAGGGTGTAGACCTAAACCCAACAAAGCAGACTCAAACCAAGTCAGTGGCATCATGGGTGCTTGGCAGAGGGCCCGGCATCCAGACCACAGACCAGAGCAGATACCAGGAGACCCCGGGCCTTTGTGACAGCACGCACTCCCTGCCTCAGGCTCAGAATTCACCAGGCAGATGGTGGCTGAGCCCACTCCAGACTCATGCTGTGATCTGGCTTTAGGTCATCCACTAAGCAGTCCTCAGAGCTATCTGTCACTCTCTTGTCAGCTGACCATCTGTATGGGCGCAATCATCCAACCTGGTGTTCACTTACTACCAGGAGGCTTGTCTGTGTGATGGCTCTGCCAGCGGCCAGGCCCAGGCTTCGTTTCGTCCAGCCCTACATAGCCTGAGACTGCGCTGTGGGCCTGCAGGAGGTTTCGCTGAAGGAAGAGCTCTGGAGACGGGGACTGTCTCCTGGTTTTACTTTGAATACTGTTAAAAGCTCTCTGAGGTAGTTCTTCTGGATCCACGTGGCATGAGCAGGGATGGGGCAGGATGAAAGTGTTCTTTCTAGTGCTTCCAAGAATAACCCGGAGCAGCAGGGTGCAAGGCTTGCAGCACACTCCACTCTGCAGCAGGCTGTGCTCAGATTACTTAACACTTTGCGGACCAGTAGTTTCATTGTTAGCCTTACCCAGTGGCCAGGTAAGTTTCTATTGAACGAGTACAAAAAACGTTTTACATAAATGTTACAGGCACGCTTTAAAATTAAATGCCCATTGCATTTTGAAGTTATTTATTACATGTTCTTACAAGCTAATATCTTTTTAAGAATTCTTGAGATTGGCCACAAGCCTTAGAACTGAAAACACGAGAATTCTCGTGATCCGTCCACAAATATGGCCAGGCACTTGGGCTTTAATTGCGGTTCTTAAAAATCCACTAAGTTTTGACCAGCCAGTGTGGCTCAGTGGTTGAGCATTGACCCAGGCATCAAGAGGTCACTGGGCTGATCCCCAGCAGGGGGCCTACAGGAGGCAGCAGATCAATGTTGATGTTTCTCTCTCATCAATGTTTCTCTCTCTCTCTCTCTCTCTCTCTCTCTCTCTCTCTAAGAATCAATAAAAATATATTTTAAAAAAACACTAAATTTTAATTTAACAACTAGTCTTAACTGCAAAAAAAGTAACAATCAGTGGCTTCAAAGCTACTTTCCTAGGCTGCATAATGAGTACAGGATGTCCATTTTATTATCATCCTTAAAAATGTACATCTATTATATACACTCCCACATGTCTCATGTTCCATAATATACTTATCCTATATAATCTATAATAATAAAAGCGTAATATGCTAATTAGACTGGACATGCTTCCGGATGACCTTCCGGACGAAGCTGGGCCTGCGAGGGAAGCCCAGGCCCGGGTGCCTGCTGGCGGCTAGAGGGGAGCCTGGGTCCTGGGTGCCAGAGGGAAGCTGCTGTCAGCAGCCAGGGGAAGGAAGGCCTACTCTTTTTTTCTTTTTTAAATATATTTTATTGATTTTTTTACAGAGAGGAAGGGAGAGGGATAGAGAGCTAGAAACATCGACGAGAGAGAAACATCGATCAGCCGCCTCCTGCACACCCCCCACCGGGGATGTGCTTGCAACCAAGGTACATGCCCTTGATCAGAATTGAACCTGGGACCCTTCAGTCCGCAGGCTGACACTCTATCCACTGAGCCAAACCGGTTAGAGCTGGAGGCCTACTCTTGCATGATTTCATGCATCGGGCCTCTAGTAATATAATAAAAAGGTAATATGCAAATCATCCGAAGGGTGGAACAACTGGTCACTATGACGTGCACTGACTACCAGGGGGCAGACGCTCAATCCAGGAGCTGCTCCCAGTCCGCAGGCCCCAATTGCCCAGTCGGGGCCTGCTGGCCAACCTCTTGGTCCCTTCCCCCGGCCACAGGCTCTGATTGCCTGATGGAAAACGGGGAATCAGGGGTGGGTGGTGGTGGACGTGGGTGGCCCCCAGTCGCCCCACACACAGAGGGTGACCGGCGGTGGGAGGTGGGGCCGGTGAGCAGCAGGAACGGCCAACCTCTCGGTCTTTCCCCGCTCCGGCTGGCATTCTTTCCCACAGCCAAGACTCAGGCCTGCCCACAGCTGCAGACAGTTGCTCCTCACTCCTCCCCACCTGCTCCCTGAGGGAGAGGGAGAAGTTATCAGCAAGACAGCAGGCATTGGTTAGGTGGGTTGTTGGAGAAACCTGAATCCTAATGCTACTGAATTCTAACCCTGTTCAGAATTCCGTGTTCTTTGCTTAAAGCACCTGATCTTACCCTCCTCAGTGGTGATGCAACCTGAAATCTAATGGGACCTTTTTGTGGGATGGGTTGTCGTGCCCCAGGACCCTGCAAGTAGAATCCTCCAGCGAATAAATGCAGTGAACATTCAGGCATGACCAGAATGACCCTGATAGTGTCACTGGCCCCCTGGAACTCTCTCGGGCATTGGGCCCACACCCCATCCCTTATCTGAAAGAAATTCCACACAAAAGCACCTCCTGCAAACAGGCCTCCACTGGGGGGGGGGGGGGGGATCACAGGCTCGAAGTATATCCTGGGCCGGGCCCACCTCGGGTGCAAGATGGCAAACAGGGAACCGGGGGTGGGTGGCAGTGGGAGGCGGGGAAGATGTCCCTGATCGCAGGCCAGGCCTAGGGACCGTACCCGTGCATGAATTTTGTGCATCGGGCCTCTAGTTTTCATAATAAGGAAGTGTCTCAAATGATACAAAGCTTCAGAGAGAACATCCCTCCCAAGAGACAAACATTGTTGGCAGTTTCTGTCCCTCCCAGGAATAGCCTGTGCACACTGACAGGTCAAACATTATCTTCGTTAAGCCTCACTCTGGGGATCCATCATGCAGCTCAGACGAGGGACTGGAGGTTCCAGGACATTAAGTGACTTCCTTCAGGTCCCACAACGCAGGACTAGACTCCAAACCAAAGCCAGACTCCCAACCTAGGACAGGCTCCCTTGCATTGTGGTGCCCAGAATCACCCATGGAGACAATGCATCAAATGCTAACACGGGGCATGTGAGTGGTCAGTATAAATGCTCTCAGAGCCAGTAGCTGCTGAACGCAGAACAGCTGAAAGCACAAAATCCCTTCTAGGCAAAATATGTTTGGGCCATTAGGCCAAGAGAAGTGCTCATACCGGGAATTATTAGGCAAAAACTGGTTGATATGGTCTAAGCTTCTGCAGCCATCACAAGCAGTAGGGAAATCAGGAAGGCACTGGACTTGGCACCAAATCCGAGACCTACCATAGCCTATGTGTTACCTTGAGCAAGTCACTTAACTGCCCTTG